GACCACCGTAAAACACAAGTAAGAAATTAAATAAATATAGTTTAATTACTTCTGACTACTGTCACTGCTTGAATGTGCACCTGTGCAATTTTTTGATCAGCACTGCTCGCGAGACGGGTTTTTGATGTGTATGTTGTAAATGACTGCATACATTGTGTAAGCAAAAACCAAAAGTGCACTCACTCTCTTCAATTTGCTTTGCAGATTTAGGGGTCTACAAAACAACTCTGACACTCCTAATGAGACAAAGTGTAATTTTTCCTGATTCTCCACAACTGTTTAATGCTTTGCACTTCTAATTGTGCACATAACACAAGCTTCTGGGTTTTTTTTGTTCTCTTTAACAAAGCACTCTTCAGCCCTATGCTGTACCAGTTCACTCCCTTTTCTTGTGTGCCAATTTGGATTACGGGGCCTCTTTAAGTGATTCCACTGATTTCTAACAGTGTTTCTCAAGGAAATGTTCTAATTGACAGTATTTTCATCCTGCCTGCCTCAACGGGTTCTCGTGTTCTAAGAAATTCTGCAAAATGGTTATCAGATATCTTCACATCAGAGTTAAAAACTGGTTTCAGGAGGGAAATTCTTAAAATGTTCTTATAATGATGAAAATCTGCCGTACTGTTTCTTTCTTTGAATACGTTTTTGGCTTCGTTAGGCATTCCTGGGTAATCACTAAGCTGGACTCTACAGTATTAAATTGGCTTTGTTTTTGCATGCATGTGTCAATACAAGTTGATTTGGTTAGAATTTGTAAATGAAATTGGCTAAAAAAGATCTTCCCATTTGCTTCCAATTGGGTAAAATTGCCTATATTCTGGCAAACAAATGTATTTATTCCAGATTGCACACTTGCATGCACTTGCAACCCTCACTCCCTCACAGAAATTCACTCGACGCATGATGGCATCTTTACAGTCTTTGCACTACATATTAATTAATGAATTCTTCCCATACCCTCTCCTCCCCGCCTCTCGCTCTGACCTGAAGGTATGGAGCAGCGGCAGGACAAGCCACAGACCACGCTGTCAATTCTGCCATTAATGTCGGTATCACTGCCTTTAATGTTGACAACCTGGGGATCAAAGCTGTGGTGAAAAGGACTGGCAGGCACACAGCGCAAGCACTTTTGGAAGACTACAAGATTCAGAAAAAAACTGAAAATGGGACTCAAGTGGAGAAGTTTGAGAAATAGCTGGTAGTGTCCTGCCTCATTCCCACAGCAATGCCTTAAAACAAAATTTGTAATTTCTATTAAATCATTCTATATTTAATATTCTTTATTTATAAAACTGGTTCTAGATTTACAAGGTAACTACTGATTATATTCATATCCTATAGTTTGATACTGCTTGGAACTTGCACTTTAATATTTATGTAATACAGGAAGATTGGACATAAACGTGAAGGACCTGAAAATGATATAATACACACCAAAAGATTAATTATAAATGATACAATATCCTACGTAACATTTAATTCATTTTGAACTGTTTAACACTGCTGTTTGTATGAAGAAAGCTTTGTTCTTGAATAGAGACATAATTATTTAATATTCATTTGTGTGTTTCCCATAATAGCAAATGTGTTTTAAACAAAAGATGATGAAATATGTGTGTGCATATTTACTTGCACATATATTTAAGACCAAAGTAATACCAGCTGTACTGTTTCACTATGGTGTTGAAAATGTCAAGTTATCACTGCTTCTAACTGTGCCTTCAAATATCAAATGATAATGTTAAAAATTAACATTTCAAGCTCCAAAATTTGACTAAAACACAACAGATTATGTATGTAGTCTCTCTATACTCAATCAGTAACCAGTAAGATGTAAATGCATCTCAGGAGTCTAAAAGATGTTGTGCTCCAGTCTGCAGGGCTTGCTTCTGTATTTTCGACTTAGTTGTAGCCATGTTATTTTTAAATGTGGCTTATTGTATTTCATTAAAAAAATCACTGTAATATGTAAACAGATATCCCGAAGAGTATTTGTAATGTTTAAATGGCCTCTAGTTGCACATTGAGATTTTGTTCCCAGCTGAATTACTCAATAAAGATGAAGACTAAATGAAGCATCCTTAGGAGTCTAAAGTAAATGTTTTGTGCCAGCAGAAGTGCATATTTGCGAGTGCAGTCAATTACTTTTAATTCCTCAGGAGTTGGGTAGTTAAGTGTGAACCATGAGCCTAGTACCTCCACCTAGTGGCGACCATTCGGTCAAGCTTAATTTAACCATGTACATTCATGTCTCCTGAATGGAGACAGCAAAGGAAATGGGTGATCCAGATTAGTTTTCTTGTTTAATACCAGCTAAACAAGAGGTAAAATTAAGTGCAGGTACGAAGAGTGTTGTGAAAAAGTCTTGAGCCAGCCCCTTAGTTACTTTTGCTTCCCAGGAGCCAGACTTTGTCATTTTTATTTAGTTATTAAAGTGGTCTTGACCAGTAGTTCTCCAGGCTTCCTGGAAATATTCCAAACCTTTTTCAGATATTGGCTGCCTTTCAACCATTTTCAGTCCAGTTCTTGTACTTGACAATTTTAGAGGAATGTTTAAAACTACTTAACACAAAATTTAAGTACAAAAGAAATAAATGTTTTGTGCTTAACATTGATAAGCAACATTCATGCAATTAAAAAGGCTTCTAACTCGAGGGATGAACCAGTGTTGTCTCTACAGGCAAAGAACCAGTTTTAAACTTTATCTTTAGGCACTTTGTTACCTTTAGCCTGTCACAAAAAAAACAATTTCTTCAGCCTTAGTTTGCAGAATTCTCATCAGAAATTGTCTCAGTGAAAGGGTGGCTGACAAGAAGCCATTCTTAAGGAAAGGAAACTGGGGGGAAAGGCTGAGGTGTGCTAAATTATACAAGAACTGGACTGGACTGCAAATTGGATCTTATGGCATGAGTAATCCATATTTGAAAAAATTTGGTTCAAATCGGATGTACAGAGGTCAGCTGGAAAAGGGTACTGCAGGGAGTGTTTATAGCCACCTGTAAAACACGATGGAGGGTCAGTCATGGTTTGGTGCTCCTTTTTTTTTTTTTTTATGAACAAAAGTTTTGGTCCACTATGCAACACTGTTTATAAAAGAGGGTAATTTTCCAGCATGATAATACAGTAAAAGCACAGCTGGAGGGAAAACACACACACACACACACACACACACACACAATGGAATACTATCAGTCATACACTAGCCTCCCCAGAGCCCATACATCAGCATGACTGAAGGAGTACGGGATTATCTTAACTGAACGGAACAAAAGCAGCCAACATCCAAAGGAAAGATTTGAATGTCCTTCGAGAAGCCTGGAGAACTATTCCTGATGACTACTTCATAAAGTTGCAAGAAAGCTTGCCTGAGAGTGTTCAGGCTGTGAAGAAGAAAAAAGACGTTCCTAAGTACTGAGGTTCAAGCTTGTCAGAATTTAACAAATTAAAATATACTGCATTTCCATTAATGTTTGTACATTTCACTGATTACTGTATCATTTCTTATTTTGTAAAAAAAAAAAAATTAAAAAAAATAAGGGGCTTAAGACTTACACATATTGAATATTTACATTCAGTACATAAATTTTTCCATTTATTTCAGGAGCTTAAAGATTTTTCAACTGATAAGATGCCATATCTTTATCTAGATTAAATGCTTTGAGGTTTCTAGTGGAAATTATGACTCATCTTTACTATAATTCTTACAATGCTGCACTGAAAAATTAAAGATGTTACTCAATATGAAAAGAAATGTAATCTGCAACAGTCTGACAATGCAGGGGGACAAATGCAAACATTTATCAAATATTGGCAAAACACATTTAATGAAGTCTGCAGACCTAACTGCATAAAGACCTCATGGTGTTGCTATAAGCTAATCATTTTGAAACTTTCTGTATATGCATTTACTTTTTGTCAGCATCACTGCGGTCTAAACACATTTTATACGCAAATTAAAATAAAAAGGAAAGAAAAAATACAGCCGTCTCTCTACTAGCTGGCCATTTAAAACTGCAAAGTTGCAGTAACTTTGTACTTAATCAGGACCTGTTTCAGGGGAAAGGACAAAATCTACAAGATTAGGATCAGGGAAGCACAAGTTACTGCTATTCAAAAGCAAATCGAGCCAAAGTGGACTAACCACATCACACTGACTGTCTGTTAAAGGGCTACTGCAGTTGTCACAGTCTGGGAAAAGTCTTGAATCGCACAAAGCTTCTGAAACTGCAAGAGTGAGGTCATCAGAGCTTGAAAGTTCACTTTGAAGTTTACATGGTGGGATAAGTAGTTGGCTTGTAAAATCTTCTACTGATACAATGTCAGGTTGGCTAACCTGAGGTAAGTCAGTGTAACACACTTCAGTTTTTTCAGGTGGGGTACAGGCTTGGCCACAATGACCTGATAGGAAAGTAACAGGATCCACCTGGTGAGAAGCAGCATCCCATAACATATGGCCTGAAGATGAGCTGGGTAAAAAAGTGTGGTGTGAAAACACCTGAAGTTGCATTCATAATTGCGGTGGTTGAATTTATCCAGTTATTTTCCACAAATTGAAATGAGGCAGAGAGAAATTGATCCTGGCACACTGGCAGCATTTGTCCTTGGGGAACAGTCGATTTATCCAACAATATTGGCGGGGCATGGGCTGTGGTCAGGCTGCGTGCTCGAGGAAGTGTTTCATCCATCGTCAGAGGAGTATTTGTTGTGATAGATGGCTGATTTACTTCTTTACAGAGGTCTTTCTGAGGGCATCTTGAGACACGATCTGAAATTTAGCAGTATGTTAACAAATACAACAATGTACCAATGAAATATTTTATTTATTTATTTTTTAATGAAAAACAATTCCTCACTTGACTTTTTAACAGCCGGCTTTGTCCTCTGTGAAACATTCTTTTTAAGCCTGATTGTTTTTCTGTTAGAGAAAAAACAAAAACCAGACAGTCAGCTTGGTATTCTTACCATTTAGCGAGTTCAAAACTCTTATTTGGATTGTGTACCTTTTCTTTTGTGATCTCTGTATGCTTTTCCAGAAAATGCTGGAATTCATCTCAACCACTCAACCTGGGAAAGGAAAAAAAAAGAAAAGAAAAACATTAAAATGATCATAACATGTACTTATAATATTGATATCAGGATGCATTAGACCTACTTTAGACAGAATACCTGGAGGAAGAGTCTCTTTCAAATAGCTTATATAATTCGCGGTGAGCTCTAGTGTGGTTGCTATGTCTAACTGACCGTTGACGAAGGGCAGAACATCACACAAGTGTTGACAAGATGTTCTGATTTGAAGCCTGGGAACATGTCAATATGTGCAGTAAAGAAGTTATACATACAAGAAATGGCCAAGGAAGAGTTTTTGGTTGCTTTGATAGCACACCCTGGAATTGTGAAAGTCTAACCTCCGCCTCTGTTCTTTGCAGCAATGACTGATTGAAGTCTGGAGCTCACTTTTCTGTGAAGAAGGGTAGCACTTCTCCATGGTAGGTTCATTTTTTTTAATTTTTTTTTTTTATCTCATCCTCGAGCCTGAGAAGAAAAATATCTCTGAATGTCATAACACACAATGACAATATATTCAGAAACTTTTAAGAAAACATCAAAATGACTTTTTTCCTTACTGCTCAGGTGCTGAAGATTTATATGACTGGAGTTTTTGGCTCCTGAGTTTGTCTGAAAGAAGTGCAACCAAAGGTTAATGTACTGTTACATACATATCATGAACTGTCAAGGTGCTGGTCTAAAGGCTGGAGTTACTTCCTTATTTTAAATAGAAACCTTTGTAAGGAGCATTAGAAAGTTAAGCTTTGTATAGACTTTGTAACCACAGCACCATACATACATTTAATGCATGAATAAAACCTTTTAATTCACGGAGTAAAACTGGAATAAAGAACAAGAAAGTAGCGTGCTACTTAAAGCCTGGACAAAACTCTTAGGCAAGAAAAGTTAGTAAATTTTGTAGCAAGTCACAAGTTGTTAATTATATTTAGAACCTTTTAGTTGTATAACCTGATGAGCGCACTTTTGTTTGCCAATAATCTTCCAAAGTTAGAGAATAACAAAGTTATGTTTTCAGCTCTTGGACAAAAGCCACACAGTAATGTGATTCTTGGCATCAGGTTTAAATTGAGAGAAAAAA